AAGACTACAGAAAATTACTATCCATACCCGTTTTCGCATAGTTTTCTATGGAAATCAAAAATGGCAAAATTTTCTCTAAACAAACGTCAACAATAAATTATTAGTTGACAGATAATTCTAAAAAACTGGTTGTGTAATTTAGTGGCAAATTCAATAATATAAAAAAAATTGGGGGTTTTAATTTAAATAAACAGAACTTAGTTGTATCTTATTTTAGGGCATCCAATATATTAAATATATTTTAGAAATTTGTTTCATTATAGGACCTATTGTTTAAAAAAATCAAGTCAATAGCATGGACAGAAAAAAGTTATAAAGCTTGCACGCACCCCTGGGTCACCCTGTAAATTTTGTTACAATTTGAAGTCGAACATTCTGTATAATGCAAAAATACAAGAGTCTAAATTTAATTCAGTTTTAGTCTATACATTAAATTTACATATGACTAAAAAGTTTTTGTCGGGGTAAAAAATTATTAGACACCCTCTTTAACACAAAAATGTAAATAATACTACTAATCCATACATTTTATTTACCTATGACTATAAAAAAAATTGTTATTATTAATATTTTGTCTGTTTGCAAAATTGGTGGATGCGCCGGGTTAATTTTTCCAATAAATATTTTTATCGGTTGAAAAGTATTGTTGCGTATTGACTTTTCGTGTCAGAGTAATGCTCGTGGTAGCGGATGTAAAACTACAATTTTTCAACTGGTTTTATGAAATATGAGACGATATTCGAGATAAAAATGTGTTTGTTTTCATTTGTGTTTCAATTACACGGGAAATAAACTGAGCAAGTTAATTTAGTTTTGAAAAATAACAAAAAAACGTTGTTGCATTTGAAGTGTTTTTGATTTGGAAAGTAAAAATCCATTGGATGTTGCATAAACAAGTCTAACTCTCAACTTTAGTTAAATCTTTGATGAATAAATAATCAAGGGTCGTCCTAGATTATAGATTCCTGGTCATTTCATCCCAAGTTTCGATAGTAGGTGGTCTCGGGGGTGCGTCATCCGAAAATTACATCAAATTTCCTTCGTAACAGGAAGTTGCACGATTTTCCATCCGGTAATTTCACTTAAATAGGCAATTAGTTGACTTATTGACAGTAATGGAGACAAAGTGGTTATGAGGAATTTACAGATTGTATCAACGATGATTTTTTTTTATAACTTGCCATTCTTATATGATTCATTAGTCCGGTCGACGTCTGGCGTTGACATTACCTTGACGAATTAGTGTGACACAGTTCAGGGTTACATATTTATAACCGTCACGTCGAATAGATGGATGATCTATCGAATTGACACCCAGGTCAATCTTTGCCGGGGCTGAAGTGTGACTGGAATTTCATGAGGAAAATTCCACACAATATAACAATTTTTTTAAGGTTGAACTAGTCTGAATAAAAACTTATAAATCCTCGTTCAAAAATTATGAAAAATATATCATAACGTTTTAATGGCTGTAACAACAATATACAGGGTGTTAAAACTCGCGCTCTAGAAAAAAAAACATACCAGGAACATATAAAAAATGTTTAAAAAAGTCTATTTGTCAAAAATTTTTGCCATTTGCCATTTTTATGTCTATTTAATGATACTGATAATCTTGTATAAATGTTTTTTTTACAATTATTATTTAGTAATGGAACAAAAATTTTGCCAATAAAATCTACAAATAACATTAAATAGAGTTACAATTTAGGATACAGCTTCCTTGTTTCTTCGTCTAATAGCCTGTAGCAAAAAAACTTGGAAAATCATTTTCCCAACAAAAATTAATAGGGTCAAAGTGCAAAATTTAAACTCATAACTTGGAAATTTTTATAGATAGAATTTTTTTAACATTTTTTTCATGTTCTTGGTATCTTACCTTACATGGCATTTTTCTCTGAAGTGCGAGTTCTGGCGCAACCTGTATGTACATTAATTTGAAATTTTATGTTTGTGTTGTTTAAAAATAAATTAAAAACTTCTATTTTTGATTACTTTTTTATATAAAAAACTGTACCAAAGAATTTTTTAATTTATTTTTAGCGTATTATACATAACCCACTTTTATTTCATGCAAATACGTTTTTTCATAAAAATAAAAACTATTGAATTGCAATCCGTTACAAATATTCAGAATGAAATAATAACTGTGAGATATTGATTTAATTTAGCTACAACATCCAGTTGTAAAGAAACCAATTTGTTTACTGTTTTCCCTAAAAATTCAATTTAATTTTTTTCGTTTGAAGACTCGTTTGAACAGCTTTCTTTTGAGCATGGTCTGTACACAAACGGAAAATTGTTTTAGTGGTTCATTTAGGAACTACACCTTTTTCAAGTGTGATTCAGAAACCATCACATGTAATTCAGATTAGTCAATTTAGTTTCAGAAAGCGTAAATTGAAATTTAGATTAGTCAGTTGTCTTTCAGAAAATGTTAATTTTAATTCAGAAGAGTAAAATGAGTTTCAGAAACCATGAGATGTAATTCAGTTTACGGTTCTAAATTACAATTAACACTTTCTGAAATATATCTTACGCTTTCTAAATTACACTTGAAAAAGGTGTAGAAGTACACCATAGAAAACGTGCTATCTAGGCAACGGTAAATTTGTAATAAAAATATAAAATGCAAAAATGAAAGAAATCATATTTTTTTAATAAATTATGTACTACAATTTTTGTTTGTTCGAATTTATTATAACTATCATTATGGCGTTACCATTTATTTATCTCTCTGTTTTTGTCTTCGAAATTAAATAAAAACAAGGAAATTAATTACTTGTAAATTGTGATGCTCACACCAAGAATAACTTTTTTTGACACTTTTTTTCAATTTAGTTTCACATCCTCTGATCAACATGCTTATTAAATTACTGATATTAGTGAAATGTATGCGACAAAACGGTTTGAAATCGGGGAAAAAATGCAAATAAATAAAAATTTATTTCTATACCGTAAATATTTTTTGTATATGATGCTCCCAAAATTTTACGAAAGTACACTAGTATTCATTAAAGTCTCAAAAATGAGTTTTTTTTGTAACTCAATAAAATATTACGTAAAACAGTTAACGGTTTATTACTACTTAAGGTACTATTTTTTATATTTTTTACTACTATTTTTTTTTAAATTAATTAATTATTTATTTATTTGCTATTCTAAACTTTTGTCTGCAAAAACTGTAGCAAAAACAACTTGAGTATTTTTAAATCGACCGTAAAAAGTAATCGAAAATAGTTTCTAAAGAAGTTATTTTCTGGACTTATATACAGGGTGATTCAAAGGTCTTGGACCATCTCTTGAGTGGTGATAGAGGACATCTATTTAAGTTAAAAGTTCTCCAAAAAATTGTTTGAACTTTTTTTCACGAACTACTGCTGTTCAAATTTAGATCTTTGGGTTAAATTTTTGGGCGTTCAGATCATGTTTAACCACCATTCAAGAGTTGGTCCGACACTATTGAATCACTCTGTATTATAAATTAAAAGTCCGTAAAGTTGCTAAAATAATCCGTAAAATGTGTATCTTATGGTGTTATGTTGATTGCACAATTTTTCAAATTTTTATACAATGAAATAAATAGTTTGTTTTTTCCCAAAATTTAATTTTTTTCTATAGCAGATATTAGTTAAACTATTTCTTTATCAACTCTTTTGAGTAGATAAAGTAGCACTTTAACCGCAAGGGTAGATAAAGTACAACTTTAACAGCAAGGGTAGATAACATATTGTAACTTTATTTAAATTTACAAATTATATCATCCACGAGGTGGAATAAAGCATCCGATTTACACTCAAACGAGTTAAATACAACATTTTATTCTTCAAATTAGACTCAACCTTTTCACTCGTAGATAAACAATCTCTTTATCGTCTTGAATAATAAATAACTATTACTAAGTACATGAAATGTATATACAAAAATCTTTTGTGTTATTTTTGATGTTTTAAAAAATTCACAACAAAGTTTAGCTATATTAAAGGATAATGATAGAAGACGATACAATAAAAAAGATATTACAAAAAAATAATTGCACAATTTGATTACTTTTAATTAACAAAAGCAACAAAAATAGATTAACAAAAAAGATTTTTTGTAATTTGCCAATTTGATTCTGTAATAGACATATTAAAGAACGCGACGTCATCATGTACGATGTCTTAATAGTCAAAAGACATTTAGATCAAATTTTGACTATTAAAATTAAGACATTACCAAACGTCACAACAATCTCTAAATCAATTAAAATAAAAATTTGTGTTTAAAAACGGCATAAATAGGGAAAGTTACAAAAAAATAGTACGCAAAACTCGTTTTTTAACTTGAATTCGTGCTTCAAGACTGGTCTGGTACTTGTTTTTTTTAATATACTATTTAATAGCATTTTGGATTCGAAAATATTTTGTAGAAATAAAATAAAAATAAAAAAAAATAAAAAGTCTATCTGCCAGAAAATTTTGACATTTATTCCGGTAATCCTGTATATGATTTTTTATAGGTAATTATCTAGTAAAAGTTTAAAAATTTTGCTATTAAAACCTTCAAATGACATTAAATTTAGTTACAATTTAAATTCAGTTCCAATTTAGGATACAACTTTTTTGTTTTCTCTTCTAATAGCCTGCAAAAAAAACGTAAAACTATTTTTCCAACAGTGTCAAATTGCAAAATTTCTAAATTTGTATAGATAGCATATTTTTAACATATTTTTCATGTTCCTGGTATCTTAGTAGGCATTTTTCTCTAAAACACTCTGTATACGCCACAGCAATTTTGAGAAGACTTTAGCAACAAAAGCCTTGATATAACCAATGCAGCGTCTATTTATGGCATCCACTTTGTAGTCCATTTAAGCTTTGAAGCAACCCTTATTAGGATAGTTTCACACTCAAATGCTTTATTAAGAAATATATCATCGCTATTAATATAACAGTACCCAAAGCAATTCTAGAATTAATTAGAATGCATTGTTTTGTATAAATGGGGCATTTTTCCAGGCTATGGCAACATTTCGCCTCACACAATCGAAGGTAAAATAACAACAATAGTTTATGCAATAATTGGAATGCCCCTCTTCCTTTTGTATTTATCAAACATTGGCGACATCATGGCTCGTTCTTTCAAATGGGTGTATGCCAACTGCTGTCTGTGTAGATGGTGTCCAGGTGTGGCAAAAAGGCGCGCTGAGAGGAAACGGGAAAGGGCGCGAATCGAGGAGGAGGAGGATGAAGGGGAATATGAGGTGGGTGCAATTTTGTAATAGAGATTATGAAATCCGGTTTTAGAAAAATAGAACACAGTTTCAGGAACGGTTTAAATGTCACAAACTTGCTGCGGTTTCTATGTGCCACGAGCACAGCACAGGCAACAATACCACATTTTCAATTTTATGCTGGCGTAAATGTTTTATTTTTGATTATTGTTACGTTGGCAGGTTGAAATGGAACCGAATTACGGCGATTTTTACAGGCAAAGGGCTTCGATTGTTAGCGATGCGAGTCAAGGGATGACTGAAGGAATGAGCGAGGAGTCTTATGATGTGCAAACGGTCACTGTGCCTGTCACCATTTGTCTGATGATTATGGTGGGGTAAGGTACTATTTTCGGGGAGGTGAAAGCGACATCTGGCTATTTCTGAAATAAATTGTAATATCGGTTTTTCAACATTTTTTCAGCAGAGACGAGACTTTTTGTAACAAATATAGGGTGAATCAAGTAGCGCACATAATCCATAATTTTATGGGTCATTTTTTTTTTAATTCTCGAACACGTCGATTTTATTTTTGTAATCGATATATTTTTACTATTATTTATAACGACAATGATTTTTAAGTAACAACCTTATCAGTATTTTTTTTAAGTAACCAACATTTTTGGTAATATTTTCTTTTAAAAAGATAGAAGAATTAAAAATAGTCAACAAAATTGGTTGCCATTAAAAAAAATAATGATGACGCCATTACTCAAAATTCAATGACGTAATAAATGTTACAATACTGGCAAAATGTAGCATTTATAAAAATAAAATCAACCTGTTTGAGGTTTTATTTGAAAAATGACCCACGAATTTTGTGCGTCACTTTTGGTTTATCCTGTATGTTAAACCAAAATGATTAAAAAAACAATTATTCGATCAAATTATAGAACCCCAACAAAAACAAAAATTATTTATACATACCTAATATAT